GGAGAAAGTTTGCGGAGAATCTATAGATATTGCGGCGGCCTCCGGGCTTCGGAAAAGGCGTATCGCAGCCCTGACTCGACGGGAGCGCTCGCCACGGCAGAAGCTGAGAGAGGCACAATGGCCGCGCCCTGCCGCCTTTTCCATTTCCTTGGGGTGATTACTCCTGGCAGCCAACTGTGAACGCACCTCATCTGTGCCATTGCATCTTCAGTCAGTTTGTCACAAACAGATACACTCCTGGTGCAAAATTGCGTCATGTACGAGTAGGTAACGGTTGTCTCTCATATTCACGATATGAGGTTTTTGAAGTTTTGGATAGTTTGAAATTTCCCACGCATAATGTTTGAACATGAACTTGATTGACGTGAAGTTCTTTGTAAGACCAATGAAATTTGCTCAAAATGTTTAAATTTGAGTGTGTGTTCGGATGAAATGTCATAAATATCATGATAGATCGTAAGTAGCCTAATTCATCTGACTTATGATAAATACATTGTATCAGAGTTTCGCATTTAAAACATAAACTCTGAAGGTGATAATTAAGTGTGTTAATAATACGAAAGATAGTTTTCGATGTAGGAATTTTCAACAAAATGCTATTAGAATGTGCATTACTAGGATAAATGGAGTTATTTGTTGCAAAACAATATTTTGCTATTAACTTATTTGAACAATAATTAATAGTTATCAGCATCACTTTGGTTGCGTTAGTAACTACAAACGTTAAGTTAATTATGTACTTTTTTCTTTTCTTCGGATACTTATGTATGACTTAGACGTGATTCAAAGGTCAATTTGCTGGTGTTTTTGGTGCCAGTTTTAAGAAAGAAAATTAGGAAAATCTACATAAGTTACTTACGAATTCATTGTGAATTGAATACAGTGATGAGGTTAACTGTACCCTTAATTATCTTTTTCGCTACAAACACAATGCATGCTCTATGTGGAAACATTCTCACGGCTACACGCGAGATTTTCTCCCACAAATGTGGTATCGTTTCTTGACGGTTGCTCTTGAGCGATACAGTCGTATGAAATAATATTATGAACATTTGCGGAACAGAGATCACATTTTTTATCATTTTATGTGTAAAGAAACCATGCTGGAGACAGGTACAGTGAAACAATTACATGTTATTGTTTTATTACGCAATTCTATGTACTATTTCTTCATTTTTGGATATGAATATGCCTTTCTTTTCGAAAAATAGGACAGAGATATAAAACGTTTTTAGTAGCAGTTGGATTTCCATTTAGAATACATCACAGAGCCAAACGTTACATACCATTTAGGACCAGCCTGAATATTCAGAGAGTTATTTGCATACATGAAAATTTGATACATAACTTCGAAATAAATTAGTAGTACCTATCCTTTTTAATGCCAGACTTTATTTTGTTTACCGATTTATGTACTGTACATTGTAATAATATTAATTTGATGTGAGATGTATATATGTATGTATATATTTACTGTATATGTCTGCATACTTTTCAGTAAGTTCTACAAAAATTTTTATTTATTACTTCAAGCCCACAAATATCACCAAATTCGTAACAATTAAATATTATCAAAGGACCTTCCTTCTAAAGGCATTGCCTTTTAATTATTGTCTAATACATTAATTGGAACATCTGTCAAAAAATATTACTGTTGAGTATGAAATGTTTGCAATCTCTATTTATATAAATTAAATATTTTTAATATAGTTTATGCATGTAGATATTTTTGTTCTATAATTTTTAAAATGAAAACACAATTGATTCAAGAAATTGATTTCCAAATTTAAGATAATTTATCTAATTTTTAAACATGAATAGAAATATCTCAAATTCAACTCAAAGGAGAGCAACTTAATTTTTTTCATTCAAATCTTTAAAAATTAAGGAGAAGTCTACTGAAAATATAACGATACCAGTGCACATTAATTTCAAATAGCATTTCCACTACTCGCTAATGAAATCAAGGAATTGATAAAAATATATAATATCTTATATTTTATTACCCTAACTGACGTGAGGTAATGCCATTAGTTATAGAAATCAAAACGAAGTAGGAGTGCAGAAAGTGAATCCTTTTGTGAATTATTCCCCCTTTGAATCAATAAATGTTCTTCCCTGCTGTCAGAAATACAACTGATAGGAATTCATATGTGCAAATATGTCTAAGAGAGTCTCTGTGAAGTCATAATTTGAACAAATCGTGCGCAAATTATATTCAAGATTTCATAAAAGATCAAAGTTTTCTCAAACTGATTCAATAAATCTCGATTTTCGATACCTTCACGAAACTATTTTATTTAAGTGTTGTAATTGGTAGTTGGAATCTGTTCTCTTCATAAATTTTCCCTCCACCTCTTTAATCCTGCTTCCTACAATTTCCTGAATTAGAATATGTATCTCAGAAATAAAGTAGTTCTTGCTGAGTTGTTTATAAAACTGCTGCTGTAACGTACATTTTGATTTTGGCGCTGTACGAGTAACTTTTGCGTTATAAGAAGTAAATAAGCTATCACAACACAATATCAATTATCAAATCGCAAGAAAGCTGGATCAAATGGTTTTTAAAAATTGGACATTTACTTTCCGCTTGATATTTGGGTCAGCCCTGTTTCCAGCATCATATCATTACTAATTAACGTATAAATCAAAATTAAAAACAGAGCGTTTTAAAATGTCTATTTGAATATTCAACCTAAGAATATAGAATTAAATCACTCTCCGGTCTCGATAACTACAAAACAGTACCTAAACTATAAATACAGACACGGCAGAGATTGACGTATCTCTGTCAAGTATAATTCTACTTAGCAGTGGAATCATTCACAAAAAAGGTTCAAATAGTTCACGCACCGAAAATACTACTATGAAAACAACTTTCATAGAGAGTTTTGTTTATTCAAATTCATTTCATGATAAGATGTAGATCACTACAGGCTGTATAAATACAAACGTCTCCTTTCTCTTAATATTTTAATTGCTTAAATGTTCTTATTACAGGATATATTTATCCTGTGCATCGTGCATAGTTACCCTAGCAAAAGGCAAACTGTGAATAGACGCAATAATATTTTACAAGCTCGCGTCTTTTGAGAGAGATTGGCGAGAGGACAGGGGAAAGAAGAAATGCATCGTTGCCAGGTAAGTAAACGTATCTGCAGCCTTTGTAATGGATGTGAAATTAGAGTCTCGTCGGCTGTAATTGCTAACCATTCGCCAAACGGTTAAAATGTGATTTTCTTCTGAACATGTGATGTAATTTTTAGAATGTAATCATGACATAATGTCCACACAATATAGGGCAGAAAACATGGCAGGTTCACTAGATACAGTTACATTAAAATAAATGTCATATTTAAGCCACTGTAATTCAGTGTTAGATTTAAAATAATAAATAAAAATATAGTTATGCATGTTTAATAGTCAATTTATATCCTTTTAGTCATATTTAGAGAAATAAGTCGAAGAGGAGTCAAATAGATGCCTTTATTCTTTATTTCCTTAAGAAACTGCGTCACATTTAGTACCATATATTAAAAATTATGTAAATTGGGGAAGTTAATTTGCTAAATTTCGGGTGGGGGAAATACTCTAACACGTGGTGTAGTTAGAATCCATGTTTTGTGGGTCCTTGATACCGAAAAATTGATTGACGGCAAAACGTCTGTCCGTCTATGAACAACTCTAGAGGTTAAACTGTTAAGCCCAATTTCTCCAAAATTGATATTTCCAAATTGATCTGGCTAATATCGCGGCCCCTTGAATTTTGAAATTGATATTTTAATTTTATGAGGTAATTTACATGAATACCCTGAAATATTTTCAAAATTAAAAAAAAACCCATCGAATTTGAATAAATTTCCTTGTTGGATAGCCTAAAGAACGTTTACGCGAATGGTGCAGGTCATATGTTAGTTGAAAACTGTAATATTTGCACAATTTTTAAAATTCAAAATTTTTATTCCGCGTCTTCCAACTTCTAAAATATTAAAAATAGAGATTTTTCTATATTAAAATCTATTAATTAAAGATGGATTTTAAAATAAGGTCATGTACAATTTTTAGAAAATTTGGTTTTTTCACGTAATTTTGCGCGAAACAAAGGCTATCTTTAATTTTTGTTTATTTTTTTTCTTAAAAACGGCCCCATAGTTTTTGATGAAATTTTGTTGGTGGATAGTCTTAATGACCTTCAAGGAACTGGTATACGTCTTATGCAGGTTAAAACCCCTGACTTTTCGAAAATAGAAAAGTTTTAAATTTTTTGGCGTCTTCCTACAACTACAATTGTGAAGATACATTTATAAAAAGAACTGTGTCCATCAAAAACAGATTTTCATACAAAGTCATGTTGAGGTTTTTGAAAATATGAGTATTTTTGGAGTGGGCGTCGATGGGCGTCGACGTTAGTCGCTCGGTATGAAAAACTTCCTTTTCTTGATTTTCATTTTGAAATAAATATGGAATAAAGAATCCTTGCCTTCAGTTGGCTAATCAGAATTTACTCACTTGCATGCTGCCTAAGTTAGAATTTGT